CGGGCAGCCGGGGCGGGTCTCACCTGGGGGACACCTGGGGGTCACACCGGTGTTGTTTCAGGGACTGGGATGACCCGCGGCTCTTCACGCTGACAGCCCTGCGCCGGAGAGGCTTCCCCCCCGAGGCCATCAACAACTTCTGTGCCCGGGTAGGCACCAGGGGCAGGGTGGGATGGGGCAGGTGGACGTGTCACCCAGCCAGTGTGGTGACAGCAGGCTGTCCTGCAGGTTGGTGTGACGGTGGCCCAGGCAACGATGGAGCCACATTTGTTGGAGGCGTGTGCACGGGAGGTGCTGAACGAGCAAGCCCCCCGTGCCATGGCTGTCTTGGAGCCCCTCAAGGTCACCATCACCAACTTTCCTGCCCTGAAGGTGAGACTGCAGTGGCTTGGGGTGGCAGTGGGGTTTCCCAAGGTCAGCGTTCACCCCCTCCTTCTTCCCAGGCACTCGAGGTCCTTGTGCCCAACTTTCCAGCTGATGAGAGCCGAGGTTTTCACAAAGTGCCCTTCCAGTCCACCATCTACATTGAGGAGACTGACTTCAGGGAGGTGAGCTGGGCCCACCAGGCCATGCTGCCCTTTGTTACCAAGAGACTGGTGTTGGTGCTGCACAGGTCACAGACACGTGGCAGACACTGGACCATGAATCCAAAACATCCCAGCAGCTCTGATGAGCCCACTGCCCTCAGCCTGGCCAGGAGGCATCCAACCAACGGTGCCCACACCTGGCCTCTGCACTGGTGGATGTCCTGCAGCAATGTGGGAGTTCAGACAGCCCTGAGTGCCCCAGTCCCTGGGACTGGGGAAGCAGTCATGAGGACAGAGAGAGAGACATGCTCGAGGGGTGAACTGCTGCCCATGCAGGAACCCTTCATGCAGCCAAGAACTCTCTTGCAGGAGGTGGACAAGGGCTACAAGCGCCTGGCCCCGGGGCAGCCGGTGGGGCTGCGCCACACTGGCTATGTCATCACCACCCAGAATGTCATCAAGGTGGGTGGCTCTGGGCACTGGTAACATGAGTTTGCACTGTGGGATGTCAGGACGTGGCTGTACCCCAGCAGGGAAGGGCAGTGATGTTCATCTTGGGCCAGGCACTGTGGGCACAGCGTGGGCACAGGCTGCCTGTGTGGCAGCCCCCGCCAGCCCCGTGTCTCACACAGCGGGGTGGCTCTGAGCTGGGAGGCTGGCAGTTCAGCCCCAGGGCTACTCTGCAGGATGGAGCTGCTGCCTGATGGCTCAGCTCATCTCCCCTCTCCCAGGATGCCAGCGGGCGCGTGATGGAGCTGGAGGTGACCTGCACCAAGTCGGATGTGGCGGAGAAGCCCAAAGCCTTCATCCACTGGGTGTCGGAGCACCTGGCCTGTG